TGGTATGTGAAGGCTATGTGGAAACAACATTGAAGATAAAATGTTAACAAAAGGGAAGCAGCTCAGCACAGATCAGTTAGTTCCCTTTCTTTTCTCTACAACAGGTAGGACAAAGAACTGCAGGGGAACCTGCACAAATGAAGAGTTGTGTTAGGGCAGTTGTATTATGAGTGACTTATATTCACTGAATAAATAGTCACTGAGTGTTTACTGTGTGCTGGGTTCAGCGCTGGGTGCTGAGGACGGAGCAATGAATGAGAATGCATTTCCAGCTCGCCATCTAGAGCTTCAAATCTAATGCTGTATTTTTTTCCTAAATATCCTTCAAAGTTGTCCTAGCATCATCTTTCAGGGAGGGAAATAAGTGAGGGAAATAAGTGAGGAAGGGTGCTCCTCTCCTTCTGGGCAATGTATTTCACTCCTGGTATCAGAACCACTCCAGCCGGATTACATATATGTTAGAAGAAAACTGAGTGTAAATGTGGTAGCGACATTTTGGTCTTATAATGTCTTAGTTTCCTTTGAAGCAGGAACATTTTAAAAAATCTATGTTAAAAAAGAGGAAAAAAGTTAGGACTTGTTACTAATCTCGCAGTTGAATAATTAAGTGTGCCTAATTCTGAAAGTAGCAGGCTAAATTATGCAGTGCCAAAAGTGACAACTCGCATACCTACACCATCCCGTCTATAGCGGCATGGTTTTAGCTTTATAGCTAAAATACGCTGCCAGAAAACCTAATAAAAGGAAGCAAAAATATTTCTGTTTATATCAAGCTGCCATTTGAGAAAGATTTTTAAATATGTTCTTCCCTATGTGTAAATCTGACAGCAGTTGCATAATTAAAGCCCCAGTGGAGAGTCTCCTTTTAATCTTTTCAAAGAAAACCAATAAAATGTCCTTTAGGATGTGAAATGATGGATTAATACTCTTTGGATTGTTTGAATATCTTTGAGCTAGACCACTGCCTCCAAGTATTAAAAGAGCACAAGCCACTGTCTTTATCTTTAGGAGTTCATGTAATCACAGGAGATGCAGATAATGACATGCCAAAGCCACACATGCATCTGTGCTGAGTTATGCTTGTCTCGGATTCTGTTAAATGGAAGAATGAATAAATGGATGCATTCACATTAAAGCAAACTTGATTTCAACCCCTTGGGAATACGTCACACAGCATAAATGGGAGAAATAATAATTACCCAGGATTTCAGTTCAGTGTAAGCAATCAATATGAATAATTTAGACCACAAAGTGGATTTTTATTTTGCCTGAGCTATTCAGATTGACTTTCTATACAGCCTCAACCACGGCTGAACCATCACTGGCAAATTTTTCTGCTGGGTCTGTGTCGTGTGGACACACATGTGTGTCTACACAATTGCAAACTGCCTAGTTCTGGATATGGGGCCCTGTTCAAGCCAAATGTCAGGACAAACATTCCATCTCCTCATCATGTTCCATCTCACCCTGAGTACACACAGCCACGCTTGACTGTGCACACACACACACAGGTGCAAAAGAAGGTGGAGAGCAAGTGGCTTCTGTCGTTGGACCAGAGTTTACCAGAATGTCTCCTACTTGCTAGTGCTCCTGTCTCTGACCTTCTTGGTACTGGCTCTTGCCTTCCCAGCCGTCTAAGACCTGCCAGATGCTTCTAGTCTGTATGACCTCTAAGATATGCCTGATCCTTCAAGCTTTCTCTGGACTTAATCAGTTGTTGGCCTGACCAACAGACCAGTCCTCCTGCCCAGCCCTGCCCTGGTGTCACACACACACACTCAGACAGACAGGCACACACCCATTATTAAATACCTCAATCTCAAACAAGAATGTGTCCACCAATTATATGCAAAAAATTGGTAGAACAAACACTGCATAACTTGGATTCTGGGCCTGGCTGAACACATAATTAACTGTGACCTGAGACAAGTCCCTTAACACTCTGTGCCACATGGTATTGGACCAAGGGTCCCCTTCTTGTTCTAATCATCTTTAGTGAGGACAGCCAAGATGTGGTGCCCATAAATGCTGCAATCCAACTGCCCATGTTGGAATATGCTTTAACCTTTCAAAATATAGCACTGGGCCTGACATACACAACACATCATATTTATGGAATGAATGGAGGAAGGGTTTTCTATATTAAAGTCTAGATGAATCATTTAGCTTGGTCTACACAGCACAAAAAAGAAATGTCTACACTGCTGTATAGACCATACACACTGTGATAGTCACTGATCAAAAAAAACTGAGCGCATGCTAATTTTCCTCTTCACTGGATGAGGTAGCAGATAGACAACCCTGACTGCCCATTTTGGACAGAGTTTTGGCTCCCTGAGCTGCTGAATCCATAAAAGCACCAATAATAATAATAATAATAATTGTCTCTGAAGACTCAGGACATTTGAGGGAAAGGAACTATGTAAGCAGAAGAGAAACTGACATATGTAGGTCTTTACTGAAATTTCATCCAAGTATATTTTGCAAGAGAAGGCTGAAATGACAATCATGCTACTTGGGGATTCAGCAGAACTTATCTGACTGACAGAAGTGACCAATTTGAACCACTGCCCGAGACCACAATAGCAGGTGAATAACTGACAGAGACTCCTCTACTCATGTGGCTGTCTTGGCACCCCTGCAAAGGGCGAGTTCTGGCCCCTGAGTGCAGCTCCCCTCAGAGATGACTGTCTCCCTGCAGCAGATCTTGGAAACAATCTGTTGGATCATTTGTAACACAGCCACACACTTCAGTGTAGCCCTCCTACACTGCTTGCCCACATCCGAAAACACAAATCAAGAGAGAGAACATAGTTTCTTTCCACTTGACTAAAGAATGACCAATCCTATCAGTAGATTAAAGGCTAGGGCTTGTAACAATTTGCCAACACGCTGACTTGATTTTGTGCAAAGAGCTGAGAGCTTTAGAAGCGAAGGCTGGGTAGTGAATGAAGAAACTGATGGGAGCTCATCAGAGAGGCATGGAGACCACAGGTCAATGGAATGGGGCCCCATCTGGATGGACTCATGGACTGTAGGGGAAGAGGACATTGCTCACATCTTCCCCGTTAGCCTGTGGGTTCCACTAGGAAGCCAAAGCCAGAGCACGTCACAGGGAGACAAATGCTGTGGCTGCCCAATATGTGCTCAGGTGTGCCTCTAGGTGGAAGAGAGCAAAAGGGTGTGTTTTCAAGAGAAAGAGCACAAATCAATAATGAGCTATGAATACATGATGTCATCCTCCAGGACTAAGCATCCTTAGTACTTTTAATGCACTTAAAAAAAACTCTAGTTGCTATGGCAACTTGATGCAGTTCTTAAAAGGGGATTTTTTTGAGGGGGTCATTTTATATCTTCAATCACCATAACAACATGATATAGCTTTTACAGCGTATTTTTATCCAATTTGTGTGTACTTTGGACTTGGGCCATATTTGCCTTTTCTATTTAAAATAATCAGATCAAGCATGACACATGAAAAATCACTGAAGGAAAGCAAGCCCTTTCGTAGACTATACATATGCACTCAGAAAGACATCTCTAGCTGCTCATATCCTGCACATAGATGCAGTCTTTCTCTCTGCCTCCCAGCAGCCATCTGCAATGGCTTACACTGATCAGCTAGCCCATGCTCCTGTCTCTAAGCTGGCATACCAAACCAGTCCAGAACCCACCCACAGAAGGTGTGACATCCCTCACTTCTCAGCCCAGTGAATCCAACCCCCTCCTCCAAAACTACCACCAGGGAACAGTGCCTTGGGTTGACGAGAGGTATGACCAGCCAAGTGCCTTCTCCCACCCTGGGAGTTGAAGCAGGAGTGGATGGGACACACACAAAGTCTTGCCAAAGTGAAAATCTTGTATTTATTGTGTACTCTGTACAGTAACTGGGGAGGAGGTCTGTTTCACATGACACCCAGGGCCCAGGGAAAGGGTGGGATGGGGAAAATGGGTGAGAGGAAAAGAAGAGAGGGAAGGGGTGGAGTGGGGAGCAGTGGTGGCTCCAGAATCTCTACAGGAGAGGCTCAGAGGAGGGGTGAAGGTGGGAGAAGTGGGGGGCTTCAAGGAGTATTTACACAGCATTTTTGGTAAGGTTGCAAAACCATGAACTGTTTATACCAAAAATAGGGAGAAGGGACGATGGAAAGTATAAAGAAACTACACCCCACTCCCCCAAGCTACCCCTTGGTGCCCCACTATTGGCTGGAAAAGATGGCAAAGTAACAAAGAAGAAAGGTCAAAAAATTGGAAGGCTAGTTGGGAGGGGAGTAGGGGGAGAAGGGGAAGAAAACCAAGGAGGGCCCAGAACAAGAGCGCCTGAAGTCCTGGCCTCCAAGTGTAACGGGATTTTCTTTGGGGAGGGGACAGTGTAGACTGTGGAAAAAGAGGGTGGAAAGGAGATCTAGGAAAGAGATTCTGGGGAAAGTGGTCGCCCTTCCCAGGGTAAAAGCGCTAGGGGACGCTCAGGGGAAATGCGTGGTAAAAAAAGAAGAGAGCGAAAGAAGGAGAGAAAAACGCTGTGAGTGGAGGGGGAGAGGGCTTTCCAAATTATCTGGATGAGGAAACTGAGGCCCAGGGGGTCGTGGGGAATAGGAAGGAAGCAGTAGGCCCTTGACACATATTCTCACAAGTACTTTTATAGAGGAGAAAACGGAGGCGCACAGAGGTTAGGTCATGGAGCTGGCAGGTGGAGCGCGGGCGACCCCGGGGCCGCCCAGCGCCTGGTTAGGGTTCTCCCCATTCTGCTTCACTGCCAGGCGAGTCACCGCGGGGTGAGCGCCAGAGATGGGCCTCTCAGGTCTGCTCCCGCGCCCAAAGCCAGTTAAGAGAAGGGGCAGGAGGACGAGGGCGGGCGGAGAGAAGAGGGCGAGACGAAAGTAGGCAACGGGGCATTAGAAGGAAAGCGAGGAGCGGACGGACGCGGGCCGTGCCGCCCAGCAGTGGAAAGGGCGGCAGGTGAAAGGCGCGGAGAGGAAAGACGCGCGGGGCGCGCCGCTCACCTATGGTCGACACCACGGTGCCCACGAAGTAGAAGGCGCCGGGGAAGTCCCAGCGCGGGCGCAGCGCGTCGGCCCGGACGCCGGCGGCCAGCGCGGCCTCGTAGTGCCGGAGGAAGGCGCGCAGCTCCGGCTCGGCCACGCCGTGCGCGGCGCTGAAGTTGCGCAGCGTGGCGCCCCAGCGCGCCCGCGCCTCCGCTTCGCCCGGGCTCTCGAGCGCCGAGAAGACTGTGGCGCCCGCCACCAGGTAGAGGCCGATGAGCGCCGCCAGCAGCACGAAGCGGCCCGTGTCCTCGTTGAGGTGCGAGCGGCGGCAGCAGCAGCAGCAGCAGGAGGGGCGCGGCAGGCGGCGGCGGCAGCGGCGGGGCGGGGGCCGGGGGCTGCGGGAGGACATGGTCCGGAGCTCAGCCCCGGGGCCGGGGTGGCGCTCGGAGCCTGGGCCGCGACATCCCCCCCGCGGGAGCAGAAGCGTGAGGATGGTGGCCAGGGGTCGGGGGCCGCCGCGGAGCCCCTCGCCGCCTTCGCCAGAGCCCGGACGGCGGGGCGCCTCGGCCTCCTCGTCGGCGCTCAGGCCGCACACGGGTCCCGCGGCCCTTCGGGCGCCCGGGCTGGGGCGGTCCTCTTCGCGCCCCGACGCCTCGCTGGCTCCCGCGGCTCCTCACCCGCCGCCCTCGGGCGCAGGGGTCTGAAGCTAGGCCCCTGCCGCCCTATGGCCGGCGTCCGCGGGGCCCCGGGCCTCATACTCCTCTCCAGACAGGCCGCGGGCTGCGGGCAGGGCGGGCTGTGAAGCCCGGGCGCCTAGGACTGGGACGCGGCAGCAGGGCATGAAGAGAGCCCCCGGGGGCGTCCCATGAGGCGTTCCCGGCTCGGCGGCTCCCAGGCGCAGGCTGCGCGGGCAGTCCAGCTCCCGCCCCCGGGCCTGAGCTAGCGGCGTCGGCTTCGGAGCCTCAGAACCCAGCCGAGTCCAGGGAAGCGCTCCCTTTCCAGCTCCAGCCGGAGAGCCGCCCGGCACGGGGAGGCGGAGTCACCGGCGCCCGGGGCGGGGTATTGGCGAGGGGGAGTAAGGAAGGGAGGGAAGGGGTGGGGAGTTGGTCTCCTGCGACGCCTCCCGGTCGTTCTAGCGGCACTAATGCGGGCCGCCCAAGCAGGTGTCCGGATTGCGGTGCTGGCTACCACCCCGCTGGGGAACCGGGTCCGGCCCCTTCCTGTGCTTTGGCTCCGGAGTCCCTCCCTAATCTTCAAGCTGCCGCCAAACTTTGCTCAACTTTGGTGCCTTGCGGTCTCCGGGGCTGGGGGCCGTAGGACGCGGGTCCCCCGCCACCGGGTTCTTGGGCTCCAGTACGAAGTTTTAAGTTCCCTCTCGCTCGCTTCCTTTTTCTGGATCCAGATCTCACAGCGCCAGGTCTCGGAGGGTTCCTTTGGGGAAACGATCCCGCTTGGGAAGGAGTGGGGGTGGGGTCACACGGCTCGGGGCGACCGCGGAATGAGGGCGTCTCCTCCCCCTCCCGCCTGAGCGGGCGGCCGGCGTCAGCACCGCGGACAGCGCATCGGTGCCGCAGCCGCGGGGCGGGCGGCTGCTATGGCTGCGGGGGTCCACCGCGCGGGGCGAGGCCGGTCACCTTGCTGCTCCCCAAACCCTCTCTGTTTCCCTTTCTACCTCCTGTGTGCACCCCTCTACCCCCTCAGTCGGAGGCAGGTGCGATCGCTGAAGCAGCGTGCTGACTGGGCGGGGATGCTGCGGAATAGAGACAGGGGAGGAGTCAAGCGCTAGTAGGGGACCGAGCTGCCACCGGAGAAAGGAGCGTCCAGGCCCACCCGGCTGCTAGGTCTCCTCTCGCCACCCAGTTCCCTGACCCCTCCAGCCCCGGGTTGGGGATCCTGGGTAAGAACCTGGCTGCGGCAAGGTGGATAGAGGAGGTGTGGGAGGAGCTCACTAGCTGTCTCCTTCGATGCCCGCGGTGGGGGAGGGTGTGCTCTTGAGCGCCCGGGGGAAATTGTCGGCCCCTCCGCCCTGCTGCGACCGGGAAACGCCGCGGGTGCTCCGCGCTACCGCGGGCGCTTTTCCACCGGACGCGGGCAACTTGACCTGGGCCACAAAGTTCTTTGGCGAGGAACGTTCTTGGTACAGACGGAAAACGGTCCTCATCCGGCTGCCAGCCCCTTCTCTGTCCGTCCCCTTTTCACAGGAGAGGCGGACCTTGATGATGATGAGACGACACAGATGACAGAAAATAAAAGATAATGATGGTGACTGTGCTTAGATATCCTGGGTGGGTGAACTGTGGCAACATGCAGAACTCGCCCCTCACCCCAAACCCCTGGGTGTCTGGCCTCCGCAATAGAAAACACTCAAGCTAGGGTCGACCCAAAGTGGCGGCAGTAGCATGGGTGCCCTAAGGGTCAGGGTGCTCAAAGTGGTTCCTGAAGGAGCCTCCACCACTCACTGAGCCCTGCACTGCCTGGAAACTAGGACCCTCTGACCCCATGCCCCGACGTGGAGACTAGGGGATGGGGGTGGGGCAGGAGAGCTATTGGAAAGCTGAAAGGCATCTGACTTGGGACATGGATTTTCCCAAACCAGGGCACGTTGGAGTCTTGGATCTTCCTAGAAATGCTGCTCCAGTTTGTAGATGGAGCCAGCTGCACTCCCCTCTGTGTTAGGGAGGGGACGGGTTGGGAGAGACTCTACTGCCACCATAGTCAGAATCAGGCTTCCTGGCACTGGGTGGCATGTGGCTAGTTTTGCAGCCATTTTATTAGAAAGGGGCTGGAGAACCTTTGTGTGAAGGGGAAAACATCTCATCCATGGAGAAAGCAGAGCCCCCTCCTCCTTTTTCTAGAGCACAGTGGGAGCCTTACACAAACACAAATTATTGCCATTGCAGACTATTGTTATTATTGGCAAAATGTACTTCAAGCACTCTCTCTCCAAGTCTTTGCCTCCCCTGGGCTCTCCACTGGTGTCACCCCAACCTATTCCCCTATCCCTATCTCTACAAGCTCCTGCTGGCAGGATAACCCAGGCATGGACCTCCAGGGCTGGATTCCACTTTATTGGTCAGCTCTGACAGAAGCCCTGAGAAGTGTCATTCCAGGAGTTGGCTCTGGATTCTCCAGATGCAGCTGAAGGACATTGCTAGACCTCTCAGTGGCTTTCTTCACCCAGACTCCCAGGGCAGGGACAGAGTGCTTTGCTGCAGTGTTCTGTGCCTCTGGACCAGCTCCTTGTCCATTTGGCAGAGGGCCTGCCTTGTCCTCCAGCTTGTTATTCTAGCTTGATTAGCAGCAAACCCATGGCGTCAATCTCAACTCTGAATGACCTAATCAATTTATATAATAGGGAAATGATGAGTTCCCTGCACATAGGCATGGGTCATTTGGGGAACCAGCCCCATGATGAATGGCACTTTTTCCCACTGAATCACTATATAATTCACTGACTTTTAGCTGGCTATCCTCAAAGCCTTTACCTCAGCTCTGAATTGCCACAACAGCTTCCTAAGGATGGGAGCTTGCTATCTCACATGTCTACCTGCTTAGGTCCCTCCTCCCTGCACCTGCCAGTCATTGCTGTGATCATGCCCATTTGATCTGATCCATATGACTAATGTCCGTAGACTACAGTCTCCAATGGCTCCACCAAAGCTATAAAAATTTAATGTTTAAACCCTTGAGGCTGTGATGCCCAACAGATCATTCTAGCTTCACCTTCTACTACCTCCTACTTATCCCCCAAGTACTCCATAGGCAGCCTGATCAGCAGTCCTTTGCTTGTGCCATGGCCCCTGCGGGAGTGCCATCTTCTATCTCCTCCTCTCTAGCTCTTCAAATATACAGCTTAACTCAGGTTAGACCTTTTTTTCCAGTAAACTTTTCCTTTGTAGGATGTCTTGACCCAATCACTTCGATGCCCCATCATTTCAACCCAAAGATCATTTGATTCTGCCATGCCCTTGAGAACTTCAGACAAGACATTGAGCAGGTACAGCCTCTTTCTTTCTCTCTTTCTGTGTCTCTCTGCATGTCTTTATGTCTTTTATGAAAGGAAACACAATGGCAGGAGTGTTAACCAGGAAAATTAGGTAAGGTCAAACGCAATCAATGGGCAATTCCACTCCTACATATATACCCAAGATAAATGAAAACATACATCCACACAAAAACTTGTACATGGATGTTCATAGCAGCATTATTCATAGTAGCCAAAAAGTGGAAACAACCCAAATGTCCACCAACTGATGAGTGGATAAGTTCAATGTGGTTTATACATACAATGAAATATTTGGCAATAAAACGAATGACGTGCTGAAACACGCTACAACATGAATGAATCTTGAAAGCATTATACTAAGTGAAGGAAACCGGTCACAAAAGGTGACATATATGGTATGATTTCATTTGAGTGAAATGTCCAGAATAAGAAAATCCATAATGACAGAAGTAACTTAGTGGTTGCTAAAAGCTAGAGGATTGAGGGGCGATGGGAGTGACTGCTAATGGGTGTGAGATTTCTTTTGAAGGTGATAAAAATGTTCTAAAATTGATTGTGGTGGTGATTGCACAGTTCTGTGAATATGCTAAAAAGCTTCAAATTGTATATGATAAATGGGTGAATTGTATGGTACGGGAATTAAATCTCAATAAAGTTGTTAACAAATACACATGCAACTAATTGAGCAAATCTTTATTGGAAAAAAATGGAAATAAGAAAGAATTTATCCCAAAGAAAATGATTTCTTTAAAATTAAAAAATAGGAAAAATTGGAAACAGTTTAGCTGTGCTAAAGACAAAATTGATTATGAAATTAAAAGAGTTTGCTCCAGAAAATACTTTCTCTTAAAAGTTAATCTGTGTTGGTAAAAATTTGATGAAAAACTCTGCATTCCAAGTAGCAGATTCAAAATGTCCTGTGTGCTTCCAAATCTCTTTGATCTTCCTGACCTCAGAACTCCACAAATACTCATTGTCTGCATTACTCATTGGCAATTAGTTGTGTAACAGGATACTTAAAAATATATATAGAGAGATAATATATATAAATATATAAGTAAATATATATATGTAAAATAATCTGGAGAAGCTGATGTCTCTAACCTGTGAAGAGTCACTTGAGTTGCCTTCTTAGTTGTACAAATGCAGAAACCCTCCTTCTGCATTCTCCTGAAATTAGGGTTTCATAAGACCTTTTATGTTTTATGTGATTTGGCAAAAATTTCCTCACACTCTGTTTTATAGAGCTGGTGGCTGAGAAGTGAGCCAGTTTCACACAGGCCTTCTAGGATGGAAGGGAAAGATGTCTGATTTGTCTTCTCTGAATTTGAGGTTAGAGAGCCTTGTTGAAGGAAAGCTAAGGGGCAGTGTCTAACCACAGCCCAGAAGCTGGGAGAAAGGCCCCTAGAAATGAAATTATTCTGA